ATACAACACACAAGTCAAAGAATTAATATACTGTATAAGACGACTAGAGAGAAACTTGGACTATCTGCACCAGACACATTGATTAAGCTTTGAATCAAAAGGTAAAAGAGGTCACCTTTCCCGGTGGGATCTTGCCATTTTTTACCATCTGCATGAGTGGCTGCACCTGGTCCTTCATTTCTGTAAGCTGCACATCAACAATTGCGTTCAGCATCCATCTCACTGGTTGCTTTTGCGAAGCAGCTATATCACTCCCTGTATACCTTCGCCTTGAAGTCCTGAATGAGTTCAAGCAACTCGGGCGACTCCTTATTGAGCAGTTTCATTTTCTCCTTGTGGGACATCTGCTTCAAGTCCTTAACGATGTTCTCCTTTTCCACAACTGTCGCCTCGGTCTGCTCCTCTGGAGCAAACTCCTTTATGTGGAGGCACATGAAACAAGTCGTTACCCCCGAGGGTGATGGCACATTACACAGCAGGTAATTGATGATCTTACAAATACCTGCAAAAAGTTTAAGTCGTAATCCTCCTCGCTGAGATGTTCAGCCAAGCGCTTTTGGATTTTCTTGGCTTCTTCTTCCTCCTCTTCTTCCTCGGCTACCAACTCATCACGAGACTTTCCCTCTGTCAACATAAAATGGAAACATGTTATCGGCAGTGGATTGCTCCACCGAAAATTGATTTTCCTTGCCATGTCCCGATTAAGCCTTAACAATTTTGCGAAATAATCTAATTGGGATTTTTGTTCCTCAATATTGCAATTAATTTGAGACTTCTTTTTAAGGTCTCTTCCAATTGATTCTTGAACAAACAAAAGCAATAAATGAATCTGTATTACAATAAATAATATCAGATTTATTATTAATATTTTGGTTTTGAAGCTTAGGTTATGATACAATAATAATGGCAAATGAAGCAGGAATTATTATGAAAGACAGTTATTTATCTACTTCATGTAGAGACGTTACATGTAAGTTACAAAACACTGACTTCCAGTCATTTAAGCGATCACGACGACAACTTTACAAAATTCAAGTGCAGTAAAACCATAAATCAAACGACCGTAATAATGCAAACAAATCTATGAGTCATTTTTTCATGAAAAAAATGATATGGAAACGTGGACTGCACTTCTTATGCAGTAAACTTATTTAGACGATCCATCTATCTATAGGTAAAATATGACGCAGATTTTTTTCCCCCCATAAAACCTCAACCTTTGCAATTTGAAATTTACATTCTACTGCATTGTAATGTCAATTTGAATTTGATTGATAACAACCCGCAACATGATATAAAAAAATCCAGTCTTCTCACTTGTGGCCACATAGTCGGAGTCATAGAACATCTTCTTCTTGGTGCCCCATGCTAATTCATTGGGAAGCTCTGAGGAAGACAATACAAACAATGTTAAGGGAGCTTTAAGTACACCAGAATCAGTACCTGGTGGACTCATGTCTCACCTTCTTCTTTCTTGCCCTCGAGATCGCTCTCCATGTCAGTGCCTTCTTCATCCTCACTGTCTTCCTCATCATCAAAATCATCGTCGTCATCATCCATCTCGGAATCATCCAAGGCCATCACTTCCTCCTGCAGAAATAAACACAAATTTTCTCTGGAACTGTTATGAGCTAATGATAAACTCCAGAACGAAAATGGGATCAAACCTCATCATCCAGCTCCTCCTCATCGCTCTGCAAATTAACTCCGCTGTTGAGGAGTTCCTGCGTGGAAAAGACCAAAATATAGACACAGTTAAAAATGAGTCATAAAAAAAAAATTAAAAAAAAACCACACAAATGATCAAAGCAAGTAAATAGTCAAAGATGAAGTAGCCCATTAGGAGTAATCAATAGTTTGAGTCATAAGTGGAAGAGGAAAGGCACCATCGAACAATGCTGTCTACTTGTAAGCATGACTAGTTTTGTCTAAATGGCGCTGGACAGCTTTTGTGTTTGATCGCAACAGTAAATTGCATTTTAAATGACATTGGATCCATGAAAAGGTATAATGACTTGAAAACGTACCTCAATCTTCTCATCGTGAAACTCATCGATTTTGTCCTTGGAGTTCTGAGATGACAAATTTAAGAATGCAGGATCAATGCAGACATTTTCATTCATATATGATGACAATTAATTGCTACCACACAACAGCAACTACGAGAATGAAAAAGGGATGGAAATTAAACCATAAAGGCTTTAGGAATAGAACTTTTGTCATGATAATTTCATATGATGTACTCACCATTAATAGTGGCTAGCCTGGTACCTTTTCCCGAATTTACTCATCTTATGGTTATGCAGTAAGTTAACAAAAATATTTTGGTGATGCAGTCATAAAGCGGTGTCAAAAATCTTTATAATTACAACTGTTGTGCTTGGTTGCCATGGTAATGGACAGAAAACGGCTAAAGTGAAGTTGCAAGCACCGAAGGGAGCGATGGACCTTTTGATAAGGTGCGCAGCCGTATGGTCGCAAAAATCTGGTAGTTTGAGCGTGGCAAGTGGCAGCCAACTAGTTAAGACTAAATCAACAGCCTCAGTGACTTTAATATATAAATTCCAATTTCAACCTGTGATCAAACCCGAACATAAACAGATGCTATGAATAGTCGAAAAAGAATTGAAATCAGAAAAACACTACTTACGATATCAGGGACAGCTATGTTTTTGTATCCCTCTGGGTCACCTTCATCATTCTGTTGCTTTTTAATTGGCCTCTGGACCTTTTTACGCCTATTAGCAGAAAAACAACATGGCAGAGGGGGGAAACATGAATGCATTTTGTCAACCATTGTGCGACGTAATGCGTCATAGAGATTAAGCTGTTTTGCCTTTAGAAAACATACAGAATGACAGTAATAAATAGAATTAAAAGAAACAATTTTTGTCACACTTTACATGAATTAAACGGCCATTGTGCTGCTGCCCAGATTGGCAAGAGCGGCATAATACAGACAGAAATACTTCACGACAGGGGTGCCCAACCGTTTTTGACCAAATATCTACTTTTGAAGTAGCCAACCTCCCGCGATCGACCCATTCCTACATACGCGCGCAAATGAATATTTTAAAACATGTAAAAATATATTCTTATCTAGTTATATGTGAGTGCAAAGATGTAAACGTACCAAGGCAGAGAATGCAGGAGAACCCAAATGCAAGAGGCTTGAATAACACGATATTTAGAAGATAACCCGATTTTAACCCTTATATTATGTTAAAGAACGTTTAGAGATGCCTCAATTTTGTACGACTTATATGTCGTCTAAATTTGTTGAAGATTTAGTCGATTGAAATGTTACGAAACTCTTGTCGACTAAAATGAACGATAATTGTTAAATGTACGACTTAAGTTAAAAATCGTTTGAAGCAAACAATAAAGTCGGTTTAAAAACACTGTACGTTGTAAACTGTTACTTTTGTTATGTCCCGTTAAGTAGACGTGACTTTACGTTGATGTTCGCTAACCCTACCCAGACTCACCTTAATGCTCGAACCATTGTGCAGGAATTCAATACAGCATCTGACAATAGAGGCAAGCAAAACGTTAGCTATGTTCAGAACAAGTGATAAGTTACACTACTCGGTGCGTAGACAGGCTGAGTAGTATACATTGAACAACTGGCTATGGTCTGAACATGTGCTTCCGCAAATTCTTCTTCTTCAGCGTATTGATGAAGAGTGACGTGAACGATTACGCGAGTAGCGCCATCTGTTGTACTACAAGGGACTGTTTCGTTGATGCTTTTTAATAATTGAATAATTTAATTGATACAGTAATGAGCTCACGGAACGACAATAAGTTAGGATATTTATAATGGGAATACAAGGAAACCCCAAGTGATGTTACATTTACGAAAACATGTTTTTACATATGCTTATTTAAACGTTTAAACAAATTAGCAAAATCCTGGTTCAGATCTATGGTCTGTGGTGCTGCATACATTTAAGATAATCATGGCTAATATTAAAAAGCGCTGCTTCACGTCAGACAGGATTGTCAACTCAAGACTGAAGTGTACTTATGGCATTTGTGGGAAGCATGAAGTGTATAGGTATGTTGGAAATATTTTTGAAGTACAAAGCACGGTGGAGGTGTCGTTAACATGTCAACCTCACATCTCTGAGGTTCTTGGTTCAAATCTTGTCTCCAGCATTCTTGTGTGGAGTCTGCTTGTTTTCCTCCTTTGCATCCATCGTTTTTGGACAGCATTGCCAACATTTGGGCAAGAGAAGGAATGTGTCCTTTGGATTCTTCACCATCCATTTGCATACAGCACATACCAAAAAACAATCACTCACACTCACAGTCAGACAATTTCTCACACTCACATACATGCCTATGGACACTTTACATTCTTCAATGAACCTAAGACTCATGTTTGTGGAATGTGGGAGGAAGTCATAGTGCTGTACCTGGATAAAATGAGAGCTGAGTGTTTAACCTCTTGCTGGTGAGTCAGACATGCTAACCACAAATACCGGTACACTGTACTGCTATAAATTGCAATCCATTAACCATTTTCTATAGTAAAGGGCATTTTCATTCAAGGGCATTTACACAGAGAGGACTCGCAGTCTTCACGTTGTAAAATTGTCACATACCAACATATTAAAAAAAAAAACAGAATCACATCATTTGACATGTTACAGGTAATAAAAGCAAAATGTCCTCGTTGGAGTCACACGTGAGCTGGAGCCTATCCTAGCTCATTTGGGGTGGGACAAGCAGGGTCACCCTGAACTGGTTGGGCAGCCAATCACAGGGCTCTTGGAGACAAACAAGCCATCACCCTCACGTTCATACCTGTGCACAATTTGGAGTCTTCAATTAACCTAACATGCATATTTTTGGAATGTGGCAGGAGGCCAGACTACCAGGAAAACATGAGAACTTCAAAGTGAAGGCGGAAGCTAAGATTCCAAGCCCAAATGCCACAACAGTGACGGAGACATGCTAAACACGTGTCCACAAAAATAAAGTCAATCCACTTCTTGATTTGAGTCAGCCTTTTTTCTTGTTCGGGTGTTTAATACTACAGAGGTAACAGAGGTTTTCCAGTTCCTTTCAAGAGAGATAGAGCTTTGTTATATGATACGGCAGCTCATTCCTCTTCCCCTTTTCTTTCCCTTAGAGGCCTCCAACTCAAATCCAGGGCGAAGCTCCGAGGTCTAGGTTTAGAAGCCTGTGGAATTCTTTGCAGGGCTGACTTGATCACATTGTTCCTCCTTTTCATCAGGATTAAGCCTGGTGTCATTTGGTCCGGGTCATGATACTGGATATTACAAAAAATGGATTTTAATCACATTAGGTCAGATTATAAGCAATGCAATGAAATGCAGCAGCCAGGTCTTACATTGGAATTGAGCCTCGGTACAGAGAATCTTCGCTCATCTGGAGTTGGGTCAGCGCTGGGTGTATCCGTGTGGAGGTCCACCATGGACTGGGTCATCTCAGACATATTGGTACTGGAGCCTTTCCTGAATAGTTCTGCTCTGTTATTCTGAGGTTTAAACCTCTTTATAAGGTCATTCAGGGAGTGGAAGCTCTCGGATTGCGGCACCCTCAGAATTAAGGGCTTCTACAAGCAGAAACATTCAAATAAATCTTCAAATTTGAAACAAAAAACTTTTTTTTGCGGCAAATCATTGGTGCACTATCAAACTGGGGGTTGTCAAAAATACAGGTTGGTGTATTCCAAATTTAAGTAAAGGATTTCCTTGCACCCCACTTTTCATGACAAATCCTCAAATGTATCATCAAATTTGATGATCTACTCCACCCACTTTAGATGGCGTAGTTAAAAAAAAAATCTTTCTAGTGTACTAGCCTCCAATCGGGGCTTTCATTTCCCCAATAGAAAAGTATGAAGCCTGGAATTTGTCCAAAATGTTTGTTTAAACCCAAATGGCTAACTGATTATTAGATTTCCATGTGTACTTGGATCTTTAAAACTGCATCCTGTTACAAAAGAACGTTTTGGTCACTCTGAGTAACAGGTCAATTCTTTCATATTTTTCAGACTTTTGACTATTGGGTGAGTTTTCAGGTGGAGACCCAAAAAAATGCAAACATTTAGAATTTTTCTAAAATGTGACTCGTTTGTTGGCTGAATAACAATGAAGACAACAATTCCAAGAAGGCCTGAAATTCCCTGGCGCTACATATTGATTACTTGCCCTGCTTCACTCTCATCTATTGCCATAAAATTTTCATGTACTGTAGAAAAACTAAAGTTTAAAAAAAAAACACACCAAAATATGTGCACTTCATGATAATTAAGAATTAATCACTGACCCAAAAAATTGGCCTCGGACCCATTTTGGGCAGTGCCCCACAATTTGCAAAACTTAGCTTTTAACAGTATTGGCTTACTCTTGAGGCGGCTATGTTTTCTATGCCGGAGCTGAGGTCGTCGAAGCCGCTCTCCTCTTTCACATTGGGATCGGGCCTTGCACGGCGTCTTTCCCTCATAGAGGAAAATAAAAACTCGTTTTGCCCCAAGTCGCTGTCTCTGTTGTCGCGCCACGCTGACAATGCTCTGTCTTCTGTGGAGAACTGTCGGGATGCAGCTTGTTCTGTCTGACGTTCTGCCCAACTGGAAATGAAGGAAATATTATTTTGACATATATACTGATTTAGGTTAAATCAGAATGGCCCTCCCCCTCTATTTTTACCCTATTCCTGCAGTTTATTTGGGGGAAAGACTGTGTTGTCTTTTAACATTAACATTTTGTCAAAAAGTACATTTTTATATTTTTAAAACATGTTACAAATATCTGTCCTATCAAGCTTACTTGGAAATTTTTGCGTTGTCTGGCATACTGTTTATCATTGGAGAGCTGTCCCACACCCTATTAGGTACAAAAACAAGCGTCTCTCAAAACTGTGTCACACATTCATACATCAGACTCATCAATTAATACAACAAAGAAATTTGATTTCAGATATTCAGTGCTCTGCAAAAGTCCCAGGCCACCTTAAGATTGGATTTTTTAGCAAATCTACAGTTTAATGATCATGCCTGGCTAGAATGCCACTCATAAGAATGTAGCCCTCTGTAAAAGCTCTCATGTCACCAAAAGTAGTAGGCTACTTCGTAGTTCGTGAAGAAAGACGAATAAACTCCTTCGGACAATTGTCATTCTATGGTTGGGGGCAGACTGCCCCATCATTGATGAGGTCAAACAGTTGAATGCGATCTTTCTTCAAGATTTACGGATATTCTGTTGGGAGTGGGGTTAGGGCTACAGTGAAAAAAATGGATGTATTGAATTTACTCAATTTTATTTTATCAAGTGGGCTGCATGAAATGAAATAATTTATATCCGGATGTAATTTTAAGTTGTTAGTACCAACATAAAAGTCAATATTTAAATATTTAAAAATGTATCTGGATCTTTCTGTGTAGGGTTGGTTACATATAAGGATGTGGTTGGGGTTTGGGTTACGGTTTGTGTTACAGACTGGATAGAGCAGAACTCCTCTTCCTTGAGGGCTGGTTATCTTATCAGACAATCAGCAAGGTATGCAGACGCTGGACAACAATCTTGATCACTTGAATCAAGTGTGCTGTAGCAGGGACAGATGAGAGACATCCAGTAAACCGGCTCTCGAGGAACAACACTGAAAACCCCTGGGTTAGAGATTAGGTCAGGGCAAAGTTTGTCTCCCTTTTTGAAACTGAGAGCTATTTCTTGAATATTGATTTATACAAAGGGCTCCCAATTTAATGGAACACTTTAAATTGTCCTGAGGTGTGAATGTGAGGGTGGATGGTTGTTTGTCTCTGTGTGCCCTGCGATTGGCTGGCAAGGGTGTCCCCCGCCTACTGCCCAAAGACGGCTGGGATAGGCTCCAGCATGACCCGCGACCCTTGTGAGGATAAAGCGGGTCAGAAAACGGATGGATGGATGGATGGTTATGGTTGAGTTAAGGTTTAGTTTAGCAGGGTTTTTTTGAATAATTTACTGTTTGTGAAAATGACTTAAATGAAAAACAAAATAGTACAAGAAAAAAAATTAATGGTGACCTAAGACTTTTAGCACTGTAGATTTTAAGGTTCGGGTCTAAAACATCCTCAACATCTCATCTGCGTTGTTCGTACCTTCTCGTGGTCATCGGGTGAAATCCATTTTGAGTATAAGTATCCAAAGCAAGTGTGTTTTTATCAAACTTCACATCAGTACGCAAGGGTGTTTCCTTTTCCTCAATTTCCGAGTCTTCAAAAAGACTATCCGGGAAGCTTTCTCTGGTAATAACACCCATGGCCTCCCAGTCCAGATGGGTGTCCATCGGTGGCGAAGGAGGGTTGAGGATCTCTTGAGTCACGTGGAAGTGTCTTGGAGGGCTAGGGTCTTTGAAGTCATTTTGTTGCTCAGTCATTTCCACGTGGGGAACAGCATACTGCAACAAGTTGGGAACCGGGGCAGACGCCGCAAACAGGGTCCGAAACTCTTTGTCGAAGCTGTCCACAACCGAGCCAGTGATAACGGTGATGAGATGCCGGTGTAAGTGAGCATCGGTCCATGCGAGGCTGTCGAGGATCAAGAAAACCTGTTATAACATCATCACTTGTTATACCAAGAAACCTTTTTGATATGAACGTTTTACCTGTAGCTACCATGAATTACTCTCTCCAAATCCACCAGAATGAATTTGTCTTTCAACTCCCCAACCATCATCTTTCCCTTGCTCGAACAGAAGCTTTTACCTCCAAGTACACGAACCTGAATATTCTGCCATTGAAGGTGAAACATAACATTAGGAACATTGGTAGCAGCCAACACAAGATCAATTTCTGCTCAGTGACTGTAGGCCGGGAAGTGAGGGTGAATGGTTATCTGTCTCGATCCTGCGACTGACTAGTGACCAATCACGGGTGTGGTCTAGGCTAGGATAGACCACAGCTTCCTGTGAGCATGCTCTAGGCCCTTAGGAAAACAGGGGCCTTAGTAAATGAAAGACTGAAATCACAGGACCCAAAGAAAATAGCACCTTGGGAACAGGAGAGCCTTTGAATTTGGGAGCTTGGCAGCATATATTTATGCGAATATGAATATTTGGAACATCGGATCATAGGAAGTTAGGATATTTGACATCTCTGAGAATATGACAATATTGGGGCCCTGGCAATGTGGGATACATGGTACTCAAGGAGTCGGACACATAAGAAGCAAGGGTATACTGATGTCATAAAACATGTGGCGTAGGATACATGGAGGCCTTGAAATTCTGAAACTTCATACCATAGAACTCTCGGAATATGAGACTTTGGAAACCTATAGCCATTGGAAAGGTTTTGGTTCTGGAACCCGGCAGATATGATACCTAAGACAGAGGTTTATGAGTATACAGACTAGCGGGTTGGACCCTGGTCTGCTTAAGTCTTGGATAAATGCTTTCAACCCTGGAAACATGTTACTGAGGACACAGTCCTGGGAATTTTGTACTTTGAATTATGGGTCCCAAGGACAATTGAGCCATGTCAACATTGCATTATTGGATTACGGGACAGTAGGAACACTTGACTTCAGGAAAATGTGGTTCTAGATACAATGAACCATACAAACACAAGAAAATATGTCCTGATTACATGAAAGGCTGCATGGATACATGGGTCTATCGAATCATTTTGTCCTCACATTAAGAGCATATTCTGATGATTCTGCAACAGTAACTGTAAGTCTGTACCGAATGCTGTGCAACCGGTTGAACTGCAATACTATGCTGGCGGGACCGTGATTACAGAGGTATGCGATGTGTCATAACTCAAGTGCACAATGCGGTATATCAAGTTGAAAAGCTTTTTTGAATTTGGACCACTTCCAGCAGTTATAAGCTAATCTGGTTGAGCGTGTCTATTTTCAACTTTTTGTACTTTTTGTACTCGAGCCCAACTCACCGGATGTCCCAGCCTGTGGAGTGTGTACTTCTCCTCAACAGTTCGTTGGTTGAGGATAATGTAAACCGGGACACCCCTGGAGGCTGCGTCATGTAAATCCCCAATGATAGTGCTGTCTGTCAGTCGGTCAGTCACAATGGCAAGTACCTGCAGTGTAAATCAGGACATAGCCTTGGAAACAGCTCTATCCCTGCTGAACGCTAAAATATTAAAATCCATGTAAAGGATGCATACTTGGCTGGCCTTCTGCAGATGCCGTCGGATGACCTCTCTGATGGAAGGTTCTCCCTCGGCGGGGGGATTCGTGTAGACTGCAACGTTTTCCATGCGCACCCAAGGCGCCTCAGGCCAGCCCAACGCCAAACTCGGAGCGGGCACATCTGAGTAGGACGGGAAGTAGGAGGAGGTGAGGTCCGCTTCATCTGGGTTGACGTTCCCTCCATTCTCCTCTTTTTGAAGTGGGGTAAAGTGAAAGTCCTGAACCCAGCTGGTTATTTCGCTAACCTCATCGGGAGACAGGAAGGAGCCGGAGAGCTCTGTGCCGACAGAGTTGTAGAAAGCTTTGGGACCTTCGCACAGGAGTTTCTCCATGGAATGTCGCTCTAGCTCTGAGTAGAGGAACTCCGGCGAAGACGGCTTTACCGGCAGGAACACTGCATCCTCATCCAGACTGGCCTCCTGAGAGCCCGGCATGGCTGCAGCCTCTGTGATGAAATAGTCGGTTTCTCAACTACTGATCCCGTCTCATGTAAGCCATCGGTCCAACGAGGCGCTGATCTGGAGGATCAAATAGTTGACAGGAAAGACATCCAATGGTGGCTGCAGAGAGGAAGTTTGTATGCCGTCGTCCTCCACAACTCATATTGCCCTTAAACAGAAAGCCGCGGAGGAGACTCATGCAGTCGGTGCATTTTTCCGTTGTCGTTTTGTCAAGCTCACCTTCAGTGGAGCTTGTGTGACTCTGTGGTTCTCGCTTGACTTGTTCCCACCCCTGCCTGTCATGTCAGTCAGCCTTCCACTCCTTGTGGGCCACATTGTATTCAGATTCCATAAATTCTGTGCCGCTGACAGATTTCTTCGCCGTTCGCAATCGCCGACATCTTTGCCTCCCTGCGTTCACTTTTACACAGGAGCACATTAATTCATAAACATTTTCGTCGTCTGCATAATGTGTGTGCATTTTGCTCAGGCAGAAAAAGTGTCAAATAGACTTTCTCGAAAATATGTCATTTTAATATTTTAATGTCTTTTTGGACTGGTCCAGCCTGATCGCAGCTTTGTCAATCCAGAATCACTACCCACTTCTGTTTTGCAGAGCACATTTCTCAATACTGCCCGGGGAATTCATTCGTTCCCCATTTCTGAATTCTTGCTGCTCTGCCAGGGAAAATGCTGACAAAATACTTGTCGCTATATGTTGAAAGATGACCAACAAAAGGTAGACACGCCCTTATCTAATACATTCAAACAGCACGCTGTCTCTTCTCCTGACGTCAGCAAACTCCCTGACGTCAGCAAAACCACCCAAGTCTTACTTGAAAACTTTGATTAATCTTACATGCGAATACATTGACATCGCAACAAGTCTGGTGAGTTGCAAGGAAGCATGAACCGGTTGAAAATATAAAATAAACAAGTGAGTGGCTGAGTGATTCTAGAAGGCCTTATTAGCCTGTACTGAAAAGGGAAAAAAAAGCACTAGATTACAAGCTGTGAGAACATTTTTATCGGAGAATAAAAATAAAAATATACCATTTTAATAAAAGTAATAACACAAAAATCTAAAGGAATTATGAATTTTCTGTCGTAGTGTTAATTTGACACCATGTAACACACCTTGCCCGCTCAGGTTTTACACCAAACAGAATTAAGGGCGCAATGAAAAAGAAACCAAATATTATGAGGTTGAATACAAGAATGATTACATAAATAAGAATTTTAAAAATACATTTTTTTAATTCTTTGAGGATTTTTTTTAGATGAATAGTTTCTGAGTCATAATATTCTTTCAAATGAAGTTTTGAAGTAACGAGTTCCCATTTTTTCCACAAAAAAATATTGCAAGAAAAAGAAAAGTTGACATTCAATGAGAAAAAATCTATTTAAAAAAACAGGACCTTTGTTTCCTTTAAAAAAAACAGAACAAATGTAATCTTGCAATTTAAAACAATTAAAAAAAGATATCCTTTTGTGTACTTCTTATTTTGCTTAGTTCCAGTTTGTCCGTGATATTCCTTGATACTGTTTCACTGGAAAAGACATTTGATGTTTGAAACTTTTGAGGTGTCAAAGATTTTTTTAAATTCAAAGAATCCCCTCTGGAGTAAGTTACTCGCAGAATTTGATGCAAAATACAGCAAGCAATGTGCAGTATGCATAGATTTACTGGCGTTTTCCTTCATGTGTGCACAGCTTGCATTTTTTTCTTACAGATTTTCACAGGGTACGACAACATGGCCCTTTCAGTCCTTCTGATTCCCACAAATGTTAAAGTTGTGTGTTTTCATTCCTTCTTTCGCAGGTGTCCATACAGGACGCCACTGATCAGCAGGAGGGGGACGCACAGCCACGCCAGGATGAAGCAATAACCGAAGCGACCTTTGCCCAGATCTCTGGAGTCGTTAAGAATCTCCTTTCTGTGAAAGGTGAAGATGAGGCACGCTGCAAAGTCGGTGAGGCCTGTGAGAGTAACAGGAAAAGTTGTTGTAGGAGCATATAATGAGAATTTTGATTTAATGACAATATAAATTCTGATTTACAATGACCATTTTTAGTTTTGTTTCACTGATTGATTGAATTCGGTTGATTGACAGGCTTGACTATTTGATTTGGGAGTGGCGATGGGCAGCCTGGGAAAAAGGGGGAAACAGGTGGATAAAGGGGTGTGGCTCAGGTAGAACACCAAGTATGGGGCAAGCAAGCCAACAGTTTTCAACCTGTTCAGTTCTGTCTCACTAGCCATCTCAAGTCTATTTTCTGTCCTTTTATTGTACCATCGAGAGGCAAAAGAAATTCATATTTAACATCTTGCACCGGATTCCTCATTTGTTTTCTGTTGGTCAAGCATTTCGCAAAGCTATACTAGCCCTAGCCTCAGAAGCGTCAATTGAAGGATTGCCAATACAGTTGTAAATAATATTATATATAAATAAAAAAATCCACGTGGCGGACTTCTGTAGCTGTCTATTGAACACTACCAGGAAATATGAATGAAAATTAACATTCAAAATAAAAAATAATTAAGTACTATTGGAAAAATGATTTCCACCACAATAATTTGTATTAAATAATGGAAAAAAGTATGTCTGTTTAATAAAATAGAATTAAATTAAATTCAGAAATCAATGTGTAAAACAAAATAATGCTCATTATGTCTACCACAATATGAATTATGCTTTCCAGAATAACAAAATACAATCATATTAACCAAAAAAATAAGCATAAATAGATATAATTAAAAGAATATAATCACTGCATACTATGAAATTGTAAAACAAAATTGTTTATACATTCATGTTCAAGGGAAAAAAATTATCACTAAGTGTAAAGTAAATGGAAAATCTTAAATCAGGTAATTAGAAATAGCTCTAGTAAAGTCGATTATCCGGAGTACTTTATGAAAGATAAAAATACCATTATTGAGGATACTGCACAAATAGCAAAGGAATTTAATGAATATTTTGTTAATATTGGCAGCAACTTAGCAAAACAAATTCCTGATCCAATAAATTGTTTTGAAATAGATAAATACATAGAAAAAAATTCTTCCACAATGTTTCTTACTGCAGTGAATCAAAATGAAATATTAAATATTGTAAAAACATATAAAAGTAAAAAATCAACTGACTGTTTTAATATTGATATGACAATAGTAAAACAGATCATAGAAATTGTAGTGCGACCTTTTACATACATATGCAACTTGTCATTTCAAGCAGGTATTTTTCCATCAAAAATGAAAATAGCTAAAGTCATTCCAATTTTTAAAAGTGGAGAAAAAAAATTCTTCACAAATTATAGACCAATATCACTGCTACCACAATTTTCAAAAATATTAGAAAAATTATTCTCTCACAGACTTGACAACTTTATAAACAAACACGGGCTGTTAAGTGAAAATCAATATGGCTTCAGAGAAAAACGTACAACCTTAATGGCAGTAATGGAGTTTGTGGAAGCAATAGCAACTAACATAGACAATAGGGAATTCACGGTTGGGATTTTTTTGGATCTGAAGAAAGCTTTTGATACAATAGATCATACTATATTATTGAATAAATTAGAGAGATATGGTATCAGAGGTATAGCATATAAATGGATTGAAAGTTATTTAGAAAATAGATATCAGTATGTGCAATTCAACAACCAAAAATCCAACTCACTGAAGATTACCCATGGAGTGCCACAGGGATCAGTGCTTGGACCAAAATTATTCATTCTATATATAAATGACATCTGTAGTGTTACAAAACAATTCAAATGTGTCCTATTCGCTGATGACACAACCTTCTACTGCTGTGGAAAAAATATGGAACAACTCCTGAAAACTGTGGAAAATGAATGAACCAAATTAAAAAACTGGTTCGACAGAAATAAACTATCTTTAAATTTAACAAAAACTAAGTTAGTTATTTTTGGCACGAGACCAATTAAAGACCAAGTTAAAATAAAGATAAATTCAATTGAAATAGAAAGAGTTTATGAAAATAAGTTTCTTGGACTAGTAATAGACACCAAACTATCCTGGAAGCCACATATTGATAATGTTAAAAGGAAAATATCCAAAACCATCGGGATACTCCATAAAACTAAGGGTCATGTTATTGTATGTTTTATATATGTTCAATAAACAAACAAACAAACAAACAAGGGAAAAAAATGGAATCGTGTCTGACTGTTACTATTTCTACGACATTATACATTCTTCTTCCCAGAAAATTACAATAAAACGAAATGAAGTGAAATTATCACTAAGTGTAAAGTAAATTGATACGGTACTCTCTTCTCAGTTAAAAAGGTGATAGAGAAATCTATGAGCAAAATTGTATCATGTTTAAAGTTTCATTTAATTTGGGCAAGTCTCGACGTTTGGGTGCGTATCCAGCACCCCCAAATGCCTGTGCGCAAAGGCGTCGGCCGTCTGGGTGGAGGACTTTTGAAGTCCACAATTATCACGTCAAAGCAAGGGGCCGAACAGAGGGAAGATGGCTAGACTCGGTCACAAAGTGGGAATAAACAATTCAGGAACAAAGCGTTGTTGAACATCAAAAGACAGTTTGAGAATGCCTGTCACGCCCAGGCGGACATTTGTCATCTGCAAAGTCTGCAACTTGTTGATTCATTGTAGACCAGACAGAAAGGCGTCAACCTACCCGTGGTTCAAAGCTTAAACCAAGGTAACCAATCACTACCGAAGGGCCGGACCCGGGGCGTGGTATGCAAATATCGGGGGCAGTGTTTTTCTTGTATTTTGCATAGGTAAAACAATAAAAGTTCAAACTGGCGGACAGGGAACTCTGAGCGTGATTACCGGGGCAACAACCGTCATTCCCCCTCAGAGATCCCTCCTGCCGTTAATGAAGACAATTTTCCCTGTGTGCCGAGTCATTTCTTTAACTTTGTCTGAGAAAAACTCTGACAAAAGGTGAAATGAGAAAATGCAATTTCAAAACATTCAGTTGAAATGCAGTAAAAAAAAATTCTGAATATATATATATATATATATATATATATAAATGCCCATTGGTAATCTTGCGGTCCCTGTGTATGTATGAAAAGTAAATTTACCTAAGTTAAGCTTTAAATTATATTACAGCAAATTTTACATGCACTTTATGTGTATTCACACTTCGCAGTAAAAACCAAATAAATTAAAAATACACCCTTGCTATAAAAATAAATAAATAAATGTGTAAAAACAACTATTGTCTTTTCACATTTTGCATGACGAAAACGAACATTAATCAATAATAACAATAATAATAACAATAATAAGAATAACAATAGTAATAATAAGTACCTGCAAAGGCCTGACAGAGTCCCGTCAAGTAGAAGAGCCCACCTTTGGACATGGTGAAGAGTTGAGCCGCAAACACCAACAAGGAGATGGACGAGAAGACCACGGACAGCACCATGAGCGCTTGCACCGACTGCAGCCAGTCTGGAACGAATGAAGACCAAACAGTTTTTAAACGTGAAGCACTGAGGACACCATGGGGTCGTGCAGAAATGCAAGTGATCATTTACCACTTTCATTGGTGGCGGCGCACAGCCACGTATCTGAGGCATTGTCATGGAAACAGTTGTACCACAGGTCGCTGATTTCTGAATTGTCCCAGACCCACCAGGACTACACACACACACACACACACACACACACACACACACACGCACACACACACACACACACACACACACACACACACACACACACAGTAAGTAAAGTCTATTTATAGAGAACATTCAAAAACAGAACACACTGAGCAAAGACAACGAATTCAATTGTGTCGTCATTTAACAGGAAGTTATTTGCTTTTCAGATTTGAATTGTTTCCAATCTAAAAGATGCTACATGGTGTTTCTGGATTTAAGTCAGAAGTACAGTTGGGAGTCTTCTGCATAGAAGTTAAATGAAATTATGAGATTATGTTTCCGAGGAGGGGAGCACGTAAAAGATTGAAAAGCACTGGACCAAGAATGGAACCCTGGGGGACACCAAAAGAAAAAAGGCTTGCACTTAACACTTCCTGTACAAATAATACTTGGAGCTTGGCAAATAATTTTACTTCTAAATATTTTAATTATATGTTGTTTACTCTTCCTTGTACTTTAATAACAGTTTCAAAAATTGAAATGTCACTTAAAGGGGAGGTCAAGTCAACAAATTTCTTTGCAATAGATGTTGAATATGGCCCCGAGATGAACCCCTGACCTCTGAGTTATTATGTGGATGTACTTTGTAGTCGGCCACCCTGTTGCCAATTTTAGCGTTATTTTTGTTGTATTATAAGGTGGCTAACTTAGTTAATGTCAAAGTCAATTCAGGTTATCCAGTGGCAACTGTTTTTGCCTTGTGTGCAATTTTTCTTAAAATAGATCTGTATATTAGTTTGACTTTATTTTATCTTATTTTTACATTTGAATGATAGTTTCGGGAGTAAAAATGTTACTTTTAAGAATGAGTAAATGTTTTGCAATGGAGGAGCCGGTGAGTAGTTTTACTTTATATTTGTCTTACTGAACATTTACTAATTTTACACTTTGTCAGTCATGAATGTTTACTTTTATGGCAGTCAAGAATGTTAAAATGTCATTGAAACCATTGCCAGATAGATTGACAATTGACACCTGATGAGTAGTTTTACTTCATTTTATTTTTACTTAGTTGTATTACGCAAGGGTTAACTCGTTTTGTTGGTTTTTTCTCACGTAATTAAGACTGTTAAAATGTTAAAGAGCTTCAAAAGTTTTCAGAGAGGTGGAGCAGGTGAATTGCTTTGACATTTATTTCCATGGAGCACTGTCTGGCGCCATCTACTCGACAAAAAGTGCCACTTACCTTCTCCAGCGTAGCCACGAGGAGCATGGACAAAGTGACAAGATGCAGCACGGTCAAGGATATGAGGAGAAACACCATGGCTGAAGTTGCTATAATAAAACCAAAAACACATATTATTGGGCAGTACCTTGAGGAAGTGGTGCAAGTGGCCCGTTTATGAATCACAGCTCAGCTTCCTCAAAATGTCTCCAAGATGAGGGGTGGACTCCCGAAAAAAGCCTCGATCTCGTGACTCTCTCCCCTCAACATCTTTTATTTATTAGAGCAATTATGAAGACGCTTCCCCCTACTCTCTCATCTTTCACTTTGGTCTCCATGACTTCACAACCCACTTACTCATAACTTTTTTTTTTTTTCCACAAAGGCATGAGCAGCAAGATTGTGTCTTACGCGCCCCGGCCCCTGAGCTTCAAAAAACCCATTCAAAAGGTCCCTTTATTCCAAACAGGAACAGCGATTGAGACAAGCTGAGACCAGAGAGAAACACATGGTATCTTTCTATGTTGCCATTTACAGTGCTATCGAGGATTTGGAACTTACAGTTCGTTTTAAAACTGAGATTTTCCACTGAACTTCATCTTCATTGCATTAAGTACATGTTACGGCGTTAGAAATGGATATAAGTCAAGGTCCAACACTTTTTTTTTCTTTTTTTCAGGAAATTAACTGCAAGCAGGCACAAACAGATGTGAGTTTGCTGAGAGGGTGGACATTCTTGGTATGCATTACTATTTTATGAGCACATGGTGGACCTTCACTGAGCAGCATGGATCGCTGTATTGTGTACTGTTTAACCAATATATTTCCAATCTGAAAATATCCGAATATTTACCGGACCATGTGCTTGCGGTGGTCCATTGTATTTTCTTTGCAACTATCTACTGTGTTAGTTCCCATTGAACAAAAAATGCTGGTCATAATGTCATTGAAAAGAAACGTGCAACATGTTACATTTCCATCCATCCATTTTTTTAATCAGCTTCTCTTCACAAGGGTCAACAGCGTGCTGGAGCCTATGCCAGCTGTCTTCGGGCTGTAGGCGGGGGACACCCTGAACTGGTTGCCAACCAATTGCAGGGCACATGTAGACAAACAACCATCTGCACGCACACTCACTGGGGACAATTTAGAGTGTTCCATGAACCTACTGTGCATGTTTTTGGAATGTGGAAGGAAACTGGTGTACCCGGAGAAAACCCACGCAGACACGGGAAGAACATGCAAACTCCACCCTGTAGGGCCGGAGCCGGAATCGAAGCATGCACCTCTGCACTGTGAGGCAGACATGCTAACCAGTTCACACCGTGTCACCCTCATGATCAATTTCATTTGAAAATAGAATTTACATGATCAAAATGACTCATTTTGTGCTGGTATATGTGCAAAACTCAAAACCTTCAGCCACTTATAATTAGGCCTCACAGTTTCATTATTATGCTACATTTTCATGACTAAGATTCTGATGACAACACCAAAGGCATTTCATCGCGCTATCAACCCCTACATTATTATTATTCATATTTCACTGAAAAGACTGAGACAGTCTGGACAAATCTCTGATCTTGTCACTGTAAGTAGTGGCTTGCATTTTCTTGCTTTGTACGATACAGTGCCATGTGTTCACGTTTAAGGTCCTAATAGTGGAAAGACATGGTCGTTCTGAATATTAACACATTAACCCTTTCAGGGACAGTGGTTACTACAGTGGACAGTTTATCGTGTTACCAGGTTACAGGGTGTTTCAAAGGGTTAATTTGCAAGAAGAATAGAAAAAGCATCATGTATTCTTACCAGTTTGCCGGTATGCTTTGGAGTTTTGTCCCAAGAGGTGATGTTAATCCTCCTTCTGTGCTCTTTTCGAGGAGAGTTGGAATGTGTAGCGGCATAGGAGGAGTACTCTACACCCATTTCCTCTATGCTTCACCCGTCCGTACCTCCCCTCCTCCCGCTCCTCATTGTGGCCCTCCCACTCATAACTGTGGTCTGGAACAAAATCAAATTCCCCCAGATAGGCCCAATCTGCGGCCTCCGCTCCCCTCCCTCTTTTCAAGAAGTATCAATGCAGTTTGTAAGGAGAGAAATGAAGTCTTTTAAGACAGCCTGGCACAAGTCCACAGGGAGGTGAATGAAGGCAGGAAGTTCAAAGTGGTCGGAGGCGGCAGCCCACTTTGGATGGCCAATGTGCAGGAAGTGTCGGCCCACCCAAGACAAAACACGCGCGCAGGCATGCACGCTACGAATGAGCGAGGCAAAGTTGACATCATGATGCTCAAATGTACAGGCAGCGTTGAAATTGTCATGCAAGCGCAAAAAAGGAGTTGTGACTGCAAATAGTACAACTAGAGTACAGTACACCTACTCATTTTAGTTTAGCTTTTTTTTAACAATAAAGAACATTAACTTGATTTACTTTATTTTAGCTTTTATTCCACCTTTTTTTAAATCCTTAACAAAAATGACTTACTCCAATACAGTATATATAATTTATTCTGACAATTTTATTTAATTTGATTTAAAAATAAAGTAAAATTATTAACCCCCTGACAGTTGACAAAGGAATGTTGCTGTGACATGGATAAAAATAAATAATTCGCCACTCGCAAAAGTTCTGATTATTGTTTTATTTTTTAAAAACATGTTGACAGTCAATCCTATGCTGATTTTGTGTTAGGACATAAGAGGCTACCACAATAATAAACAGATTGTTAAACTGAAATCATTATCGTCTTTGCAAAGGCAAATTATGGGAATATAACTCTTCTATCGGATCATATTAAATTGTACGGGTGTACCAAATAAGTCTTCCTTTGAGTTGCACCCCCTTTTTTTTTTCCTTATCAAAACATAAGTGATCTCAAGAGGGAATGTGGCCAAAAAGAATAAATATCGACAATACAAAAACTCGTCACATAATATTTACAGAAATGTAGAACGCGTACGATATATAGAAGATACCTTAACGAGCATTAAAAAAGTTAGGGAGCGTATAAAAAAGAACAATCTGTGACATCACAATAAATGTTATAGGTCTGTCCTTTCCAGGCCTCAAAGTGCTCATTAGACATAATCCAGATGCGAATATATATATATTTATAATGAATACAGAGGAAAGTAGTATTGTACCTCCTCATAAGGTATTAGTACACTCTGGCACTTTGTTTTTTGTTTTTTTTGTTTTTGGTCGTACCCGAGTCCATCAGTCGTATGGTCATCGTCGTATACTAAACGGAGAGAGAGAGGTGATGTCGGGACAAAATGGTGGCGGCGCTCAGGTCCGAGGCATCCGTCCGTTGGTGGAGGTGAGGGGCGTCACTCCTGCGAGGCCCCGCATGCTGCGCCGCCGCGTGCTTGCACATGTGCTTCATGAGGTAGGTCTCCTGCAGTACAAGATGTGCAGATAATGTGGTATGCTTTGGATGGTGAACGAAATAAGATTAAAAAAGGTGAAAGCGAATTTCTGGGGCTTCCAGTATGTGGCAGTGAGCACTTCGTAATGTTATTTGCGTGCTGGAGCCGAGCCCAGCTGTCTTCGGACAGTAGGCGGGGTATACCCCGAGATGGTTGCCAGCCAATCACAGGGCATAGACGAACAATCGTCTGCGCTCACACTCACACCTCGGGACAATTTACAGTGTTCCATTAATCTGCCATGCATGTTTTTGGAATGTGGGAGGAAACCGGAGTACCCGGAAAAAAGTCACGCAGGAACGGGGAGAGCGTGCAAACTCCACACAGGAAGGCCGGAGCTGGAATTGAACCCTGCACCTCTGCACTGTGATGTGTTAAACAGTCGCCCACCGGCCACCGTGCCGCCATGATTTTTAGAAAATCAAAAATGAAAAAAACAAAAACAAAATTGAAGCATGATGGCAGTCGTGGCTTTTCACTCACCGACGTGTACGCTCTGTCGCATGTGCTGCAGCAGAAGGCCCGAGCCGTCTTGATGGCGTGGGCGGAAAGGTGCATCTGCAGCGATGCTGCGTCAGAGTACGCCCGGAAACAGTTGGAACACTTGAACGCCTTGTCTTTGTTGTGGTGCCTCTGGTGTGACTGCAAACAATACGTCACAAAAACACAATATTTCCATCTATCCATCAAATTTCTGCTCCGCTTATCCGCTCGAGGGGCGCGGGCATGCTGGAGCCTATCTCAGCTGTCTTCGGGCAGGAGGCGGGGGACACCCTGAACTGGTTGCCAGCAGGGCACACATAGACAAACAACCATTCACGCTCACACCTTGGGACAATTTCGAGTGTTCCATTAATCTTCCATCAATGTTTTTAGAATATGGGAGGAAACCAGAGTACCCGGAGAAAACCCACGCAGGCACAGGGAGAACATGCAAATTTCACACAGGAAGACCACAGCCGGAATCGAACCCTGCACCTCTGTACTGGGAAGACAACGTGCTAACTATATACAGTAGTTGATATATTTGATTATTTATTTGATGTTGTAGTGGCAGTTTACCTGCAGATTAGACAGCTGAGTGAAGGCCTTCTCACATCCGGGTTGGAAGCATTTATATGGACGATCCCCCGTGTGGATTCTGGGTGAAAATTCAAAATGGAGTGGTAACAACAAACCATGCCAAAATCCCGTTTTTTGTCGGGGTTTTTTTTGTCTTTTACGCATGAATGCCATTGAAGCACTATTTCCATTCATGGAGATCTATTGCTGCTAAAAGAGGAAAGGTGGGAGCATCCGACCTGGTGTGCTGCTGCAGGTGCGAGAGCTGTCGAAAGCACTTCTCGCAGTAGGCGCATCGGTACGGCTTGAGGCCCAGGTGGATGCGCAGGTGCTGCGCCAGGTACGGGGCGTTGGCAAACGTCTTGGTACAGTGAGGGCACTTGTACGCCTTGGCCTCCGTATGAGTCTTCGAGTGGATCTGCATGTCCGACTTGGAGAAGAAGGTCAGCGGGCACACTTTACACCTGTGGACGGGATACAAATGCAACGGGCGACGCGGTATGCTTTAGATCACGGTCCATAAATGGACAAGATGTGGTATGCTTTGGATGAAGGTAGATAACACGTGTAGTATGAATGAATCATGTCGCGATAACATGATGTGGCGAGCTTTGTTTGGGCAATGGAAGATACATTACATAGATAGCATGTTGCGGTATTGCTTTGGCTCATGGTAAACTGACTAACGGACTGACGAACACATAACATGGGATGTGTTATGCTATGCATCAAGCTAGCTAGCTATACAGATAGATAATGCATGATGTGGAATGTTTTCAATCATGATGTGGTATGCTTTGGATCATGAGCTGATCCCTTCCAGACCGCTTGCATTGGGACGAAATACAATCTTTCAGAAAAGAAAAAGCAAAATACAAATAAAACGACAAAATGAAAAATACGTGCTGTTCTGTGTAGTTTTGTCTTGTCTGAAAACATATGATGTGGTATACTTTGGATCAGGAGCTGCTCCTCTCTATGGCTAAATACCATACCTGTATGTTTTCTCTTTGGCAGTGATGCTGATGGCTGACTGGTCGTTGCTGGACGCCAGGATAGGGTACGGCACTACCAAAAGCGAGGAGCCGTTCTCTGCTTTGATTTTCCGACGTCCTTCCTTCGGGGGCTTGGATACTCCGAGCAGACCCATGAGACCTCCGTTGGTTCTTCCGGGCTCCATCCCGTGGGGGTTAGCGAAGCTGGAGAGCAGGTGGGGTGTGGAGGCGCCAGAGGGTGGCGTGGATGGGGAGATGACCTCAGGGTTGTTGAGGTTTCCCGTTCTGGATGCCAGCGAAACGCCTGAAGGACGAGAGGACCTGATGACAATGCTGTGTTCGAGGAAACTGGGAAATTAGATGTACCGTGTTGCATATATTTGACCACTCCACATCTTCGAAGCGTGAGTAGTTTTATTTTATTGCTGTGCCGTCACCTGAGAGGTGGTTTGCCCGAGCGGGGTGCTCGATGAGCTGACGCCAGTCCTCCCACAATCCCCTGGCTTTGATGGCCGCTTTATCCTCCAGGTTCAAGTTAACGTCGCCGAGAATCCGACCTTGAAGACACGTCATCAGCATTTGTGGCGCACAGGCTGACAATTGATGGTGTCAGAAAATGCACAGAAATAAATTGATCATGACTCAGTTATTGTTTTGTTTCCAAAGCAAACACAGATCTCACTTTGACTAATCAGTCTTCTCTCATTGAAGAATCCAGATATTTGCAAATATTTACTGTTGAGAGGCCGACATTGTGGAGATAATTACGAAAAATTTGATCATCGATTTTTTTTCTCAAATAATCAAACAACTCTTGCACCTCTAAAAGCTACATCTTGTATTATTTATGAGCCACTGTCATATCACGCACAATTTGAGCATTAATCCTTGTACTTAAACACAGGAAAATAAAACTTAAAATAATGATTCCATGAAAATGTATTTGACTTAAAAGTTACATGCAAATTGGATCCAACGGCGAAAGCAAGGCTTCTGCCACGTGGAAGTACAGTGACGTGTGACGTCATGGTGAAAAGGCGGATACTTAATGGTGACAAAGGTACCCGTGAGTGAGCTGGAGGTGGGCCGGGCGGGGCTGGCATGTAGGACGACGTCTGGCTGCTGGGCTTTGGACGTCGCATGCTGGCCGCCGTCCGGCGACAGCAAGGGCTGCTGGGAAGGCAGCGTAACAGGGGCCGGATGAGACGCTCGAATCTTCTCCGCCATCAGCTGTTCCTTCATTCCATCAATGGAGAAGACTTAATAGGATATTGTACAAAAAGACGCTTTTCTTTTTGGATTTTGTCATGGTTGCTATCCCTAAAAATAGTCCCGTTTGAATAGAATACAGAGCCTTTTTTTTTTTGTACGACTCCTGACTGAATTCTGTGATCACGTTGCCAGGTAACACTACATGAATAAGCCGAGATTTCTCTGCACTGATGTATGCAAAAACACGTCATGACATATTTTTCCTCTGGAAAATTTAAAAGGCGAGCAGACTTGAAACACTCACCTGAGTGACAGCCATGGCGGGTGGCGGGGGCCAAAAATAGGGACTGTTAAAGCGAGGTTCAGCCATTCTGGAATACAATGAGAAGGGGGGGGGGGGCAAACACAAGTTCAAAATGGATAGTTGTTCGAGGGGACTGCTCAGGGAATCTGGACTCAATTTTTTCTTTTTTGACTGAGCATCCATTCATTTTTCTTTCCTTTTTCTATGGTAATAAAGTTTGAATGGGCCCACGCACCTTCTGCAAAGGTCATATGAGCCCGCTCAAAAGGACAAAATAGCCAACTTCCTGTCTGAAACTTTAAAATCGCCCATCTGCAATTTAGCACAACCCACTTGCAATTTTGCATCGCCCGTCTGACATTTTAATGTCACTCTA